CATAAATTTTCCTTTTTTAAAAAGGCAAAGGGGATAAAAGAGAGTGCAAAAAAATTTTAGGGGGATAATCTGTTGAAATGTACCCGGAAAAGTTTTATGAAAATTCTAAATTTAAAGGGGGGGGGGGGGAATTAAGATTTTGACGGAGAAAGGATAGCAGATGAACAAGGAGGTTTTTAAAAGGGAGGGGGGGTGTTTGGGCCCAGGGGTTAAAAGTGAAACATATAAGTGAACAGTATTTAGATAAGCTAAAGAGGCTTTTGGGGATTTAAGGATTTTGGAAAAACGTATGACAGGGTGGATAGGGGGGCAATGTGGGACCTTTTTGCAAGTTAAAGGGGTAGGGGGTAGGTTACGAAAGCAGTGAAAAGTTTTTACGAGGATAGTGAGGCCTTTAAGTTTGAGTATGTAGGAAAGAGGGAAAAATTTTTTTTTCCCCTAAAAGTAGGGCCTTTGACAAGGATGTGTGATGTCACCGTTGGGTTTTTAATATAAATTTTAGATTTGGGGTTTTTAAAGAATAAATGCGAGGGCTTGGCCAAAAGGCGTGGAGTTAAAAAAAAGAATCACACCCAAAGTGGGGGGTTTTTCACAGCCCGCTCTTTTCCGGGTGACACTTTTGCTCTTGGGGGATTCTGAAGAGAATTTTCAGAGATTTGGGGGATGAATTTGGGAGGGTGTTGGGAAAAGAAAAAAATTAAAGGTGAATACAAGGGAAAAAGTAAGGTTTTTTAGGGTAAAAAAAAATTAGGTGATAAAAGATTGAATATCAGTTGGAGGGAGAGGTATGGAGGGGGGAACGTATTTAATATTTTTTGGGGGTGGACGTTCAGCGGATGGGGCCCAAGAAAGATGAGGGGAATTTATAGAATTGATGAGGGAAAAAAAGTGATGGGGCACTTAGGGGTCTGTGGATACAAAAAAAAAATTTGGGCCTTGGGCAAAGAAAAGGGGAAAAAAATGAGAGTATAATTTTTTCCAAAGCCTTAAATGGGTTTTGAACTGGGTGATGAATGTTGCAGCGAGGGGGAAGGCGGGGGCATTTGGGGGATGTATGTCTAGGGCAATGTGTGGTGTGAATAAATGCAAAGAATTCGTAGTTTGGAAGTTAGGAGGAGTGCGGGGGTTACCAAAAATGTTGTCCAGAGGGGGTGAAAGGGAAGGGGGTTTTGAGGTGGTTTTGGACATGTAAAAGAGAATGGAGCAAAAGAAAAGACTTCAAGAGGATCATTTTGTATGGAAGGAAAGGGGGGGTAGGGGGCGGCCCAGGAAGGGTTTGGGGGGAGGGGGTAAAAAAGGTTTTGTGGGGCGAGGGGGTTTGGGTTCCACAGGCATGCGTGAGCGGTTTTTATAGGATGAATGGAGACAAAAGGTTTTTTAAAACTTTACGGCTGTTGGAAATGGAGCAAAGTAAATTTATGAAGGGAATTTTAGGGAAACCGCAGGCCGGAACCCTTTAGTCTGGGAGGGGGTGGGGGGGGGGAAGGGGGGAAAAGGGGGGGGCCCGCACCTGAAAAAAAGGGGTGTTTTAAAGTTGCAGTTTTAAAAAATGTAGTGTAAAGCACCCTTCTGGCAAGAAAAATGAATTTGGGTGAATGATGGGAAAGTTTTTCTTTTTTTGGGCCCCCCCCGCCTTGGGGGGGAATCGGGCCGGGGTGGGAAAAAAAAAAAAAAAAAAAAAAAATTTTAATAATTAAAAAAGGTAGTAGTTGGTAACGCCAAACCCCCCAGGGGGAAAAAACAAACCCTCCTTGGGGGGATGCTGTGAAAACGGAAACCCTTTAAATGTTTTACATGATGGGGGATTGCAGGGGGTTTTTTTTTTTCTGTCTCATAAACACGCTAAGATAACAGGGGTAACTTGCCCACTCCTACTTACACTTTGGTCACACTTCACAGACCAAAGCACATGATAAAATATATAAAACATACATCTAGGTTTTTTTTTTTTTCCCTTTTTTAAAAAGCCTTTTTTCTTTTTATTTTTTTTTCTATTTTCCATGGGGGAATGGAAAAGAATCTTTCCTCCGTAAAACCATGCTGTCGTATGAGGCGACTAAAAAAAGGGCCCGGGGCAATGGCTAGTAACCCCTTCTCCTGTATACATTTATAAAAAAAAAAGGGAAAAAGAAAAACTTTTTAAAACTGGGTTTCTTAAATTGCGTGGATGTAGTTTCGGATGACAAAAACAAATAATTTTTTTATGTTAAAGAAAAAGAAAAGAAATTTTGGGTGCCTGGCCCTAAGCGAAACAAAGCTGAAGGGGGGAGGGGAGTTTCAGTGGGGGGGAAAAAAATGGGGAAAGGGTTTTTTGGGAGGGGGTAAAGGAGGTTTTTTTGTGCAAGGGGGGTTTGGGCTTTTTAGCAGGCATGCTGAGCGTGTTTGATAAAGGGGTAATGAGACAAATGGGTTTTTTTTAAAACTTGCCCTGCTGTTTGGGGTGTAGGGAAAGAAATTTAAAGAAGGGATTTAGGGAAACCCCGGGAGGCCGGGCTTGAGTCCCGGAGAGGGAAGTAAAAAGGGGCCTGCCCCTCTGAAGGGGGGGTGTTAATGTTGCAGTTTAAAAACTGTATGTAAAGCACCCTTCTGGCAAACAGTGATGGGGTGGGAAAGATGGGAAAAGTTTTTCCTTTTTTTGGGCCACCCTGCCTTGGTGGGAATCGGCCCCCGTGTTTAATAAAAAAAAAATAAATAAAAAATATTTAAAATATATATATATATATATATATATTATTATTTATAATATATATATATAATTAATATATAAAATTTTTTTTTTTTTTTTTTTTTTTTTTTCAAACAAGCGGCCGTCTCCCACAGGGGCCCTCAACCAGCGATGGCATCGATTAACATAAATCCCACTACGATAAAAATTTTAAAACGCAAAAATTTTGCCCCGACCCAGCCCCTTTAAAAAAACCCGACCAATGCTATTCGTTCCGTTCAAGAAATCTTTCCCCTTTGGCCTAGCATTCCCCCCCTTTTCCCCTGGGTGCCAAGCAGGACGTACATTACTCAAGGGGGAAAAAAGGGACTTCCCAAAGGGAAAAAAGTCCCCATGAAAGACAGGGGGTTAAATCTGTTGATGTTCCAATGCCCAGTGGTGATTTTTCCCAAATGAAGCCTTTATTGGGTATCACCGAAAAATCTCAGAGTGTTTGGAAAAACAATGTTTGCCCCAACTAATTTGTGTGTCTGTGGGAGGGCAAACATAAGGGATGGGCACAAGGGGCTTTTTTATGACTTTTTTTTACCAAGCATTTTCCCCCAAGTTAAAAAATTTTCCCAATTGAAAAGAAGTTAGAAACCTTTAAAGGGCCCCCGGTTTAGACAATGCTCCTGGTCATCCTTCCCAAATTTCAGAGCGACTTTCTAGGGAAAAATTTACTTCATTAAAAGGGGAAGTTTTTCCCCCTAAAACCACTCCTCTCCTGCAGCCCATGGGCCACAGGGCATTTCCCCAAATTTAAGAAAAATGTTAAAAAGGTGCTTTTTAATACCCCCAGAAACTCAACTGACCTAAGAAGTTTTTTTAAAGATCACTTTTACCATTTCCCAATTGTGAAACAATTTTAGGAAAACTTGGGGGGAAATGACTAAGAGGAAACCTTTAACCCTGCCTTTGGGAAAAAAATGTGGCCAGAATGTTAGACAAAAGGGATTTTGAAGGGTTTTAGGCTAACCCTAAAAATCCTATGCCAGTTGAGGAAAACCACTGTGGCATTTTGGGGGAAATCCTTGGGGTTGGGGGGTTTTTGGGGAGGAAAATTTGGGAAAAGTTGGGGGTGGAGGACAATGAAGAACTAAACCCCTGATGACGCTAGAATCATCTTGAAAATCAAGAGGGGGAGACCCGAGGAAAATCTTCGGAGGGGGGGATAGAGAAAATTGAAGAAGTTTCCCAATTCTAAGATTAAGGGAAAAGTGGGCAAAGTGGCTTGAAGGGGAAACCTTTATTGATGAAAAACACCCTGGGCACAGCACTGCAACCGTGTTGCAACCTGTAAACTGACAATGTTGTGAACCCCTTTAAGAAAGTCATAAAGGAACAAGAGGTACAGGTATCTAAGGGCAATATGTTGTGCAACAAATTCCGGGGCTCTGAAACGGTCCTAGTGGCATTAAAAGAAAAAGGGAACTAACCCCAGAAAAAGACTTGCAAACCCCAAGTTCTAATGGAAAGGGATTTTCCCCTTCCCAAAAAACTAAGAAGAACAAAAGCCCCCTCCCCCCCCTACCCCCCTCCTCCCCAAAAAACCCCCTCAATCATCACCAGATCTTCAATAAAGGTAATTTCATGTAACTGTGCATGTCTTTCTTCAATTTGGGTATTAAAAATTTAAAATTTCATGTGGTAAAAAAATTTTTTTTTTAAAACTTTGGGGGGTCCTTTCCCCGGATTTAATTTTATTTTCATTATTTCTTTTTGGGGAAAATTAAATTTACTAACGATTATTTTTGATTAACGATGAGCCCTCAGGAACCGGGGTTTTATTGCTGGGTTTAGGGTCCCCCCTTATATATATAATTTTTTTTTTTCAAGTCCGGGGCCTTTTCCCCCCGAGGCAGGGTTTACCCAAAAAAAAAAAGAAAAACCCCAAAAAAAAAAAAACTTTCATCATCATTCAAATCTTTTCAACCCCCACTCACAAAATAATCAAAGGTTTTTTTTCAGTGTCTTGTTGTTTTAATCATCTTGTGTTTCTAACTGACCATCAGATATTGTCTCAGGAACTTTTAAAAAAAATAGTACACATTTCCTCTAATGATCTAATTCAAGCCTCTACTTTGCCCAAGACAGCAAAAGGTCCCCTGCTCACAAATTAATTTAAGACTATGCTTAAGTATTAGGTTAAGCCTACCCGAAATGCCTAGGCATGATAGTGGCTTTCTTTGTACCCATCAAATTATGAAATGCAAACACATTATAACCTCTGCAAAAAAAAGAAAACTTCTGTTTTGATTGTTTGTACTCTCATCTCACATATTTTTCAACTTACTTGGTGGGTGCAGGTTTGTTGCGTGAGAATTCCACAGACTCCTGTGTATCCCCAGTACCAACCCTCAGTGTGATGGACTTGGCACAGGTCACTCCATCAGTTCCACATGGCACATTCTAAGAATTGTCAAATAGCACAAGAATTTTAGCTAATATAAACATAAACATCACACGAGAAAAATTTATAAAATGCAAAGTAAATTAAACAAGTATGAATAGCTAATACTGAGTATGTATAAAGGTTTGAGTCTATGTCCTGGATTCATTCAGAGCTCTGCAGCCAGCCTAACCAAATGTTGCACATTGTCATTATCACATTTTATGGGAAAGTGCTAAACCCCACAAGGGTCATAGAGCACACAGGGAATGGAAGGTAATCAGATCTGATCAAAGTAAAAGAAGGGGTAGCCACAGTTCCTTGTATCACTGGCATCAAGGCATCCTCTTTAAAACCTGAATTCTGCATACCAGAAAAATGACAAAACTCTGACAGATGTACAAGTAAGAAACTGATTTCAGAAAAAAGAGGCAGTGGTGAAACAATGTATAGGAGGGCTCTGCTTTAGAGCACTTCACTTTACAGAGTTTTGCTAATACAGTGGTTTTTCAGTTATATCCAGTCTTCATTTATTCAAGCTACCTACAATAAATATGTGGAAAATATTTAATTTTCCGAAGTTATAGTGCCTAATATGTAATTAATGTGTTATTGTTGGTCTGAAGTATATTTGAAAGTGGAGGAGAACCAACAGAGAAACTCTGCATATGCTCCGGGAGAAGAGGGGAGGCGGGAGTGTGTTTGAATGCGGTTAACAGGCTGGTCAAAAAATGGGACCAGGAAATTGGCATCCACAGCGGTCTAAGGATTAATATAGGCCTCCCTTCATAATAGGAAGTGTTGCAACTGTTCCCAGTTTAGAATATGGAACAGAAAGTGAACAAAACCACCATAATAGGGTAGTGACAATGGGAAATAGTTAGGGACACTGGCTTGGAGAGTGTAGAGGCAGTGACAACAAACTCATCTAATTTAATCAAGCTTTATCGAGGACAGATTAGGGTGGACTGACCTCTGATGAACAGAAAATAATATGGGAATGTAATATACAGTGGACCCTCAGCTAACGAACGCATCACATAACGTTAAATCTACCCAACAAAGTGTTTGAGCGTAAAAATTCTGGCCTGACTAACGATAAAAAACTCACCCAACGTGATTCGTCCTGAACCTGTCCGTCCAGCCTGAGTGCCTCAGCTGCCCTGCTGTCATTATTTACAAGCCAGGGTGGTCGGTTTCATACATACATTCGATACATTTTGTATTATTCCATTGTTTATAGTACTTGTAACTGCTAAATAAGCCACCATGGGCCCAAAGAAAGCTTCTAGTGCCAACCTTGTGGTAAAAAGGGTGAGAAATACTATCAAAATACTATTGTACCACAGTCAGCTGCTGCTGCACTACTGTTAGCTGTTGCTGCACCACTGTCAGCTGTACTACTCGAAGATGTGGAGAGACTGTTGTTAGTGTGGCTTAACGAGAAACAATTACCAAGAAACAATTAACCCCAGAGGGTTAGCCACCCAGGGTAACCCAAGAAAGTCAGTGAGTCATCGAGGACTGTCTAACTGATTCCCACTGGGGTCCTTGATCTTGTCCCCCAGGTTGCGACCCACACCAGTCGACTAAAATGCAGGTGAACAGGAAAATGTGCCTGGAACTAGAGCTCATATTGGTGAATTTAAGGCCAGCAAAGGTTGGTTTGAGAGATTTAAGAATCATAGCTAAATGGATCAGTCACAAGACTCACAGAGGGAAAATTCCTAGGTATCCACCTTAACAGTAGCCTTAAGTTCCGGACACACATACAACAAATCACCAAGAAAATCTCCAAGACTGTAGGCATACTATCAAAGATAAGGTACTACATTCCACAATCAGCTCTCCTGGCACTGTACCATACACTCATATACCCTTATCTTACATATGGAATTTGTGCATGGGGATCAACAACATCCAATCACCTAAAACCCCTCATAACCCAGCAAAAGGCAGCAGTAAGAATGATAACGAATTCCCACTCCCACCAGCACACTCCACCAATTTTCAAAAGTCTGAATCTGCTCACCATTAAGAACATCCATACTTATTCATGTGCCTACTATATACACAGAACAATACATGCAAATATAAACCCTCCACTCAAACTTCTACTCACCAACTTAAACAGGACACATGACCACAACACAAGACACAGATCTCTTTTTGATATACCTTGTGTCCTTATCACACTGTGTAAAAACTCTATGCACATAAAGGGCCCTAAAATATGGAATTCATTACCAGAAGATATTAAAGTAACCCAGTCTGAAAACCAGTTTAAGACTCTTCTCAAAAGCCACTTAAATACCCTAGACTAAACGCTAAATACTCAGTACACACATACTCACTTATGTACTCCCACATCATAACTTCAACAATCACTTTGAACCTTTTATCCATTGTTGCCAGGAATATAACTGAACCATTGTTTTCCACAAAAAGCATTTTAAACTATAAGAATATAACCTTTTCTTATACAAATTTAATTCACTTATAATTAATAATCTACTGTTCAACTATGAAATAATTACTGTCCTACTGTACAACTATGATAAAATCCTTAGTGTTAAGTAGTCTGTAAGCCAATAATGTTAAGTTGGCCCATTATGCCAAGGCATAATAGAGGCTCTCTTTGCATTGCAACCCACTATTGTAAATATAAAATCTCAATGTACTGTTTGCAAAGACATAAAATAAATAAATAAATAAAATAAATAAATAAATAAATAAATAGTGGCATACACAGTGTGATAAGGCATGGCAAAGCTGAAAAATTCCAACCCCAATAAGTGTTTAATTGTGACGAAACAGGCCTGTTCTGAAAGAAAATGCCAAACAGGACCTACATTACTCAGAAGGTAAAGGCACTCCCAGGACACAAGCCTATGAAAGACAGCCTAACTTTCTTGTTTTGTTTTAATGCTAGTGGGGATTGCAAAGTGAAACCTTTACTCATGTATCACTCTGAAAATCCCAGAGTGTTCAAGAAAAACAGTGTTTCATCACTCATCAATACTCTTCAATAAAGGTAAGTGTCATTTTTACATTTATTTATATAGTTATTGTGCATGTCTCATTGTTTTCTTTGTAGGGAAATGTATATTTCATGAAAAAAAAATTACTTTTTTAATATTTCCGGCTGTCTGGAACGGATTAATTGGATTTCCATTATTTCTTATGGGGAAAATTAATTCGGCAAACGATAATTTCGTCTAACAATGAGCTCTCAGGAACGGATTAATATCATTAGCCGAGGGTCCACTGTACTGGGGATTGTGAAGAATATAGTGGAAAACACACTCAACCAAAGTGATATTAGGTGAAATAAAGAGTTCACCATATTGAAATTCCAATGTGACACCTGGTAACCTGGCATCCCATTTCCGATATCCACGGAGCTCAGCCTCCTGTATTGGAATAAAACAAATCAGAAATAGTGTCTTGCTGAAGTTGCATCATATCAGCTTAGCAAGACTTCAAAATGAGATGGTGAATGGAGGAAATAAGAAGCATCAACCACTGACAGCTAAGTACACCTTGTTATATAGAGTTAGCTGGCCAGTTTAATTTCTATGTATAATATGGTAGGTATTGTAGGTGATCCAGCTGCATCATGTGACCACCAGAGAAAATCTGGTAAGTGGTGGTATTATATATGTACAAGTATTTTTCCCTGATGGATATATATGTGTCTAACTTCCCCCCCCCCCTTTTTCTTCGGTCAGTCTAATATTCATATTCATATAGTATTTTATTTGGACATGATACACAGTTGTATAAGGAATTATAGTAGTTGGGTGTACATGCCAAAAGCCCCTTGTATGCAAAGAATTATGGGCAGGCTTAAAATTAACTTAAAATTAACACTCCACAGCTAATTAGTAGTGCCGTACTTGTGGGTGCTATCCACTTCTAAGTTATAGTACTGGTCTAGGGCAGATGTGTTTAAAGTGTGGGATATCGAAGGAGCCGCTTGCAGCGACCAGGGGTGGCTTAAGTTTTCTCACACATCTACACGGGGTAACTACTGTAAACAATATATGGTTGTCACCTCCCACTGAAATTATTTGTATGAATGCAATGACAAAGTTCATACAGGTAACACCTTATAAATTTTCCACATTCACCACTCACTATAAGCTAAGTACAAAAATATATGAAGCTAAGTAATGTGTATACTGTATATGTATTACTTAGGCCTAGCTCTATTGCTCACTTAATATATGATAGTGTAAACATGTTATCAGGCTTTTATATGCATTTGAAAGTAAAAAGAAAAAGGGCTGTTTCACTTTACAGCAATTTTTGCTTTACAGCAGTAGCCTAGAACATAACCTGCTGTATAAGTGGGGCCCTCCTGTACAGTAAGGAGTCTTCTGTAATCAGCGTCTTACTAAACTCAGCATAGTCTTGTCATTTGACCCTGAGAAAATTTCAGGCTATGTTGGGCAAACTAAAGGAACTCATTGAGGATATGGTGATGATCTGAACAGCTACCTATTATTTTTTCAACATACTGTGTACTCAGACAACTCTGGGTTCTACTGCTAGTAGAACCCAGAGCTGTAATATGTAAGTAATACAGCATTACATGATAATAGTTTATTAACAAAATTCAAGGATTCCCTTCTAATATACTGATGTTCTTTATATATATTACATTAAACTTTACTGTATACTATCATATAGTGACATATAAAAGGAACTGGTGGCTAAAGCTCCCGCTTCACACACGGAGGGCCCGGGTTCAATTCCCGGTGGGTGGAAACATTTCGACACGTTTCCTTACACTTGTTGTCCTGTTCACCTAGCAGCAAATAGAAACCTGGGTGTTAGTCGACTGGTGTGAGTCGCATCCTGGGGGACAAGATTAAGGACCCCAATGGAAATAAGTTAGACAGTCCTCGATGACACACTGACTTTCTTGGGTTATCCTGGGTGGCTAACCCTCCGGGGTTAAAAATCCGAACGAAATCTTATCTTATCTTATCATTGAATACTAATAGAGGAATGTATTAAGAGTACCATAAACTCTTGCTGTTCATCAAGCTTTTAGTTCAACAAAAAATATTAATTATTTTTTTTTATTAACACACTGGCTGATTCCCACCAAGGCAGGGTGGCCCGAAAAAAGAAAAACTTTCACCATCATTCACTCCATCACTGTCTTGCCAGAAGGGTGCTTTACACTACAGTTTTTAAACTGCAACATTAACACCCCTTCTTCAGAGTGCAGGCACTGAACTTCCCATCTCCATGACCCAAGTCCGGCCTGCCAGTTTCCGTGAATCCCTTCATAAATGTTACTTTGCTCACACTCCAACAGCACGTCAAGTATTAAAAACCATTTGTCTCCATTCACTCCTATCGAACATGCTCACGCATGCCTGCTGGAAGTCCAAGCCCCTCGCACACAAAACCTCCTTTACCCCCTCCCTCCAACCTTTTCTAGGCCGACCCCTACCCCGCCTTCCTTCCACTACAGACTGATACACTCTTGAAATCATTCTGTTTCGCTCCATTCTCACTACATGTCCAAACCACCTCAACAACCCTTCCTCAGCCCTCTGGACAGCAGTTTTGGTAATCCTGCACCTCCTCCTAACTTCCAAACTACGAATTCTCTGCATTATATTCACACCACACATTGCCCTCAGACATGATATCTCCACTGCCTCCAGCCTTCTCCTCGCTGCAACATTCATCACCAATGCTTCACACCCATACAAGAGCGTTGGTAAAACTATTCTCTCATACATTCCCCTCTTTGCCTCCAAGGACAAAGTTCTTTGTCTCCACAGACTCCTAAGTGCACCGCTCACCCTTTTCCCCTCATCAATTCTATGATTCACCTCATCTTTCATAGACCCATCCGCTGACACGTCCACTCCCAAATATCTGAATACATTCACCTCCTCCATACTCTTTCCCTCCAATCTGATATCCAATCTTTCATCACCTAATCTTTTTGTTATCCTCATAACCTTACTCTTTCCTGTATTCACTTTTAATTTTCTTCTTTTGCATACCCTACCAAATTCATCCACCAACCTCTGCAACTTCTCTTCAGAATCTCCCAAGAGCACAGTGTCATCAGCACAGAGCAACTGTGACAACTCCCACTTTATATGTGATTCTTTATCTTTTAACTCCACATCTCTTGCCAAGACCCTCGCATTTACTTCTCTTACAACCCCATCCCTAAATATATTAAACAACCACGGTGACATCACACATCCTTGTCTAAGGCCTACTTTTACTGGGAAATAATTTCCCTCTTTCCTACATACTCTAACTTGAACCTCACTATCCTCGTAAAAACTCTTCACTGCTTTCAGTAACCTACCTCCTACACAATACACCTGCAACATCTGCCACATTGCCCCCCTATCCACCCTGTCATACGCCTTTTCCAAATCCATAAATGCCACAAAAACCTCTTTAGCCTTATCTAAATACTGTTCACTTATATGTTTCACTGTAAACACCTGGTCCACACACTCCCTACCTTTCCTAAAGCCTCCTTGTTCATCTGCTATAGGATCAAAAAATACAAGCATTAAAAGCATTATCAGAATGACATGAATTCAATGAGAAATAGAGGAGTCATCAGATTCTTTTCCTCTGAATCTCAAGATTGAGGACAACACCTGTAAAAATTGAGTTAATGGTGATCCTATGTAGTGTTCTCTAATGTGTTATTAGAATTAGTTCTTTGTCTTTATATGGCTCATTTAGGAAAGTCACCACAGTGTGCAAGAGGGAGGGCAGGCAAGCAAGACACAAAATAAACAAGAGTGAACAAGTTAGAAAACAAGACATGACAACCATCAGTTACCTTTCCCCATAATATCTGGGAGAGGAAGGAGGGAAGAGGTGTACTGCTACATGCACACACACATATTCAGAAAATGAATATGTGAGGAATGCATTTCTTCCTTAAACTTTAAGCTATGGAAAGAGAATATAACATGAGAGTGACAGAGAGGATTGTTGTAAAGCTTGGTATAGTACAGTACTTCACAGTTCTTTATATCTTAAAAAAAAAAAAAATGTATTCACATACCTGCACTATGACTTCAAAGTTATCAGCCTTAGAGTTTTTGCCCTTAGCCAGGAGATAATCACAGGTGCCAAAGAACTCATAGAGTCGGCCATCAAAGGTCTTGTAGTGAGAGTCACCCCAAGCAGTACATATCCCTGGACACTGTTTATCTGTACATAGCCACTGACCACCCTCGCAGTTACTGTGATGAAGTAAATATTGGTGGAATATTATACAAAGATGATAAAACTCTTAATGAAATCAAAGATTATTAGGTTACAATTTTTTCTTTGTAGCTGATTATCCTCAATTCAGGCATCAGTCTTGATGTACTGATTTGCACTCTCTGAAAACTCACTTTGCATTTCACTAGATGATGGGTCACATATATGATGGGTCACATGTATGATGAGTCACATGTATAATAGGTCACATGTATGATGGGTCACATGTATGATAGGTCACATGTATGATGGGTCACATGTATGATGGGTCACATGTATGATGGGTCACATGTATGATAGGTCACATGTATGATAGGTCACATGTATGATGAGTCATATGTATCATGGGTTACATGTATGACATACAGTGTGATTTCAACAATTTTTTGTCTGCACCTCTGAATGCTGGTCTTATTTTTGTAAGCTTAACCTATGCTGATATTATTCTGTTTACAATATATGCACTTCAGAAGACAAATTTTTTTTTTTCAAAGTATTTCTGTGAACTTTTTTACCCCCATGAACAAATGATGCATAAGCCAACAAACCAGTTAGAAGAAAGACACCATCTTCTCAGAGAAACCTATCTTACAACATTTCATGTATACTTCCAAATGAAAAGTTGTAATAAAGGTTTCTCAGCAAATATAGAGCTTTTCTTACTACTTTTTGCTTAAAGATGGTACTCTTTTTTTTTTTTTTAATGTTGGGAGAATTCTCCTAATATTTTGGTCAAAGTCTGTCATAGCAAAACATAAAATGAGATCAAGTTTAAAAAAGTCAATATTTTAAAAACTTAAGAAAAAACCATCTCTTGCAAGCACATTTGATAGTTATCATCAATTGTAACTTCTATGTATGTTTAAAAAAAGTAAAGATTCTTATTTATGTTCAATTTCAGTATGTGTGACTTAGGTTCTATATACTACATCCTTATTCCAATAAAAGTATAATAAACAAAATAGTTTCACAAAAATTATAAACAAGTTATATCAGCTCTGACACTATATAAATGCTTTACTAAAAACTTATGAATACTTTTGAAATGTTGCAAATATCAATGATAGTTTCTCTCTAAATTATCAGTTTAAGAGAGAGAGAAGCAGACAGACAGAGACAGAAACAGAATAAGACAGACAGACAGAGAGAGACAGACAGACAGAGACAGGCTGAGACAAAGAAAAAGACAGACTGACACAGAGACAGAGACAGAGGGAAAGAGAGAGAGTATGAATAAGAATTTCTACCTACATTTTTCCTGCTTGCTGTATTACTCTGCTATTCACTGTTGTAAAATACAACTTTAAAAAATAAAATAAAGTCCAAAATATAATAGGCAGAAGTCAAAAAATACACAGTGAGGTCCTACCAGGAATTGCAATCCTCGGTGATAGTAGCATTCTCTTCATAGGAGCGACCACCATGATGGCAAGGACACTGGTTGTGGTGGATACATGTGCCGGTGTCAGCATCACGAACATACCCAGGGGCACAGATGCATCCAGGCCGGCACAGATCACTAACCACAGGACGCAGGTGCATTGTCTGCACAGATCAAATACAATATAAATCACTCATATTATATAATTTGGTTTTTCATGTTACAGTCTTATACAGCACTCAATAAAGACTGTTTCCAATATTGTACCTCCAAAACAGTATCTAACAGGGAATGAAAATGTGGTTTCTTCCATACTGACATTGCTATCACATCTCATACAAACTACTTACATTGCACGATTCACAAGTAGCTCCAAAAACATGTATTTGTTGGCTGCATTAGTACAGCTCCAATATTCAATGATAATACTGGCAGATTTCAATGACAAATCATAAAAAATTAAGCGAATTGTATCCACAGGTTATTTATTACATATAATATACATAAGTAGAAGAGAGGGAGACTACTTCCCGGTAAAAGTAGGTCTTAGACAGGGATGTGTAATGTCACCATGGTTGTTTAATATATTTATAGATGGGGTTGTAAAAGAAGTAAATGCTAGGGTGTTTAGGAGAGGGGTGGGATTAAATTAAGGGGAATCAAATACAAAATGAGAATTGACAGTTACTTTTTGCTGATGATACTGTGCTTATGGGAGATTCTAAAGAAAAATTGCAAAGGTTAGTGGACAAGTTTGGGAGTGTGTAAAGGTAGAAAGTTCAAATGAACATAGAAAAGAGTAAGGTGATGAGGGTAAAAAAGTAAGTAAGTAAGTTTATTCAGGTATACACAAATACAGTTACATAGAATTATCATACATAGCAGCATATGTGTAGAGAACCTAGGATAACCCAAAAAAGTCAGACAGAGTGACTTATTTCCATTGGGGTCCTAAAAGGGTATCAAATGATTTTGATAAAGAAAAATTGGATATTAAATTGGGGAGGAGGAGTATGGAAAAAGTGAATGTTTTCAGATATTTGGGAGTTGATGCATCAGCGGATGGATTTATGAAGGATGAGGTTAATCATAGAACTGATGAAGGAAAAAAGGCGAGTTGTGCATTGAGGTATATGTGGAGACAAAAAACGTTATCTATGGAGGCAAAGAAGGGAATGTATGAAAGTATAGTGGTACCAACACTCTTATATGGGTGTGAAGCTTGGGTTGTAAATGCTGCAGTGAGGAGACGGTTGGAGGCAGTGGAGATGTCCTGTCTAAGGGTAATGTGTGGTGTAAATATTATGCAGAAAATTTGTAGTGTGGAAATTAGGAGGTGTGGAGTTAATAAAAGTATTAGTCAGAGGGCTGAAGAGGGGCTGTTGAGGTGGTTTGGTCATTTAGAGAAGGAATCAAAGTAGAATGACATAGAGAGCGTATATATCTTTAGAGGAAGGAAGGCGGGGTAGGGGTCGTCCTCGAAAAGGTTGGAGAGAGGGGGTAAAGGAGGTTTTGTGGACAAGGGGCTTGGACTTCCAGCAAGCGTGCATGAGCGTGTTAGTTAGGAGTGAATGGAGACGAATGGTATTTGGGACCTGACGAGCTGTTGGAGTGTGAGCAGGGTAATATTTAGTGAAGGGATTCAGGGAAACTGGTTATTTTTACATAGCCGGACTTGTGTCCTGGAAATGGGAAGTACAATGCCTGCACTTTAAAGGAGGGGTTTGAGATATTGGCAGTTTGGAGGGATATGTTGTGTATCTTTATATGTATATGCTTTTAAACTGTTGTATTCTGTGCACCTCTGCAAAAACAGTGATTATGTGTGAGTGTGGTGAAAGTGTTGAATGATGATGAAAGTATTTTCTTTTTGGGGATTTTCCTTCTTTTTGGGTCACCCTGCCTCAGTGGGAGACAGCTGACTTGTTAAAAAAAAAAAAAAAAGTACACATAGTATAATATTGTATTTAGACATTTAATATTTACCATGCATTCAATACTGTGTACTAAGACCTTACCATCTATATTTGTTGTGTACTTTTTTAGCACTAAACTCATTACCTCATACACTGAACCGTTTGACTCACTCATGATGCTATGACAGTTTTCTTTCTTCTCTAACCCTTTTATTACTTCATTTAACAGCATAGTACAGTACTGTGAAATTTATACAACTCTTTTTCTCAGACTGATGTTGAGAGAACGCTTTTAGAATTTATTCTGGGTAAATACCATACTAGCAAAAAATTACAAGGGTTTATACACCCACTGACTGATACTATTGAAAACTGTAAACAAAATACTGTACTACTGTATAATCACAATACCACTGATGCTGAACAGCAATGGACTTGTAGACAGAAACAGTCTGTGGAGCAACTAACATCTTGTTACTGTAACATGAAATTGATACCTTGTAAAACTTTTGCACTCTGACAGGATTGTTGGTTTTTTTCTGTCTCATGAACATATAAAATAAAGGTAAAATTTACAAACTTCTATCAACATTCACTACGTACTTATCTTTACTTTCCAGATTATTTCTTAATAGTCCTTATTCCTCTATTTTTTCCTTTCCAAATTAAGAGGCCTCGTGGGAAACTGGGACATAGAGCGATGATCCCCAGAAACATTAACAGATGCAGTAAAATAGATAACAGATGTAACCGTTAGTAAGCCCAATGACATTTTAAATATTTAGTTAACTTGTAAATATTGAAATTTAAACTTAATTCAGGTATAGTAAATTAAATTTTAAGATGCCTGGAATTTGAATCAGTGAATCTATACTTTACCATAAACTGATTTTTTTTATTGAAAAGTGAAATTATAAATAATCCTGAATCATCATTCTATCTGAGCTGCTATCGCATCATACTTCTTCCTTTTTCATTACCTGGCAGGTATTCTCTTCTTCTGGAAGACAGTCAGTGTAAACCTCATTCCTGTCTTGATGACACAGAACCTGTGGGGGTCTTGTTACGGTCTCATTTTCTCGTGGTTCCCAGCAATTCCAGCCAGCATTGAAACACTCACTGTAAGAGTGGTCATTACAATTAAAACTTGTATAACATGTAAATATGAAATCAAAATATCATAGGATTTCTTTTACCCAATTGGTTGGGACTAAAGGTGCTTTGGTTCATGTAATAGATTTTTCAAATAATGAGGAGTAGCTATGGTAGTATGTATTACAAAGTGTACGTTATCCTAAACATAAAAAGTTATAATACCATGGCTAGGACAATACACAAATAACCTCCATTGAAGGGAAGGAAGCCTATGATAATGTTTTGGTCTGAGTCTGACTTGAACCACTGGTAAATCAGTGTGACTTGTCAATGATCCAAGCCTGACCAAAACATTATCATAAGTTTCCCTCTTTTAAGCACAAGTTAGTAGTGTATAAGTTATCATATTAGTAATTATTAAGAAATAGCTACTGTACAGCAGGTCCCCTACTTACGACATTAATACCTTCCTGAAACTTGTTCAATATTTAATTACAGTGTTTCGCTAATGCAGAGGTTTTTCAATTATGTATACCTATTCTTCATTTATTTGGACTTCCTACAATAAATATATTTACCACTCACTATACGCCTAGGACGAAAATATTTTAAGGTAAGTAATGTGCGCACCATATATGCATTCTGTAAGCCTAGTTCTATTGCTCACTTAATATATGATAGAGCAACCATGTTTTCATGCATTTATCTTGAAAGTGAAAAAAGGATGCTTCACTTTACAGCAGTAGCTCAGAACTTAACCTACTGTGTATGTGGGGCTCTCCTATACAGTGGACCCTCGCCTAACGATATTAATCTGTTCCTGAGAGCTCAACGTTAGGCAAAATTATCGTTAGCCGAATTAATTTTCCCCATAAGAAATAATGGAAATCAAATTAATCCGTTCCTGACACCCCAAAGTATGAAAAAAAAAAAATTTTACCACATGAAATATTAATTTTAATACACACAAACTGAAGAAGACATGTACAATTACATGACACTTACCTTTACTGAAGATCTGGTGATGGTTGATGGGATGGGAGGAAGGGAGAGTGTGGATGGTGTTAATGTTTAGAAGGGGAATCCCCTTCCATTAGGACTTAAGATAAGATAAGATAAGATTTCGTTCGGATTTTTAACCCCGGAGGGTTAGCCACCCAGGATAACCCAAGAAAGTCAGTGCGTCATCGAGGACTGTCTAACTTATTTCCATTGGGGTCCTTAATCTTGTCCCCCAGGATGCGACCCACACCAGTCGACTAACACCCAGGTACCTATTTGCTGCTAGGTGAACAGGACAACAGGTGTAAGGAAACGTGTCGAAATGTTTCCACCCGCCGGGAATCGAACCCGGGCCCTCCGTGTGTGAAGCGGGAGCTTTAGCCACCAGGCCACCGGGCCACTTGAGGTATCAAATCCTTTTCCTGGGTTACTTCCCTTCTTTTAATGCCATTAAGACCAGCTTGAGAGTCACTGGACCTCTGTCGCACAACAAATCTGTCTACAGAGGTCTGTATGTCCCGTTCCTTTAAGATTTGCCTAAAATGGGCCACAACACTGTCATTGTAATAGTCACCAGCATGGCTTGCAATGGCTGTGTTAGGGTGATTTTCATCCATAAAGGTTTGCAGTTCAACCCACTTTGCACACATTTCCTTAATCTCTGAAGTAGGCACAATGGATTCCACAACTGGCATAGGCATCTCAGGGTTAGCCCCAAACCCTTCAAAATCTTTCTTAATTTCCATACTAATTCTCACCCTTTTAATCACAGGGTTGGCACTAGAAGCTTTCTTGGGGCCCATGGTGACTTATTTTGCAGGTGCAATCACTAAAAACGCTGTGATAATATGAAATGTTCCGATTGTATATTTGGATGCAACCACGGTAGCTGGCTTGTAAACAATGGCACCCACGGGACGAGTGAGGCGCGCTCAGGCCACATGTGGACGCATCTTGAACGGAACGAATTGCGTTGGGCGAGTAATTTAACGCTCGCCGAGGCAAAATTTTTGCATTGAAATGTATCGCTAGGCGGATTTAACGTTATGCGATGCATTCGTTAGGCAAGGGTCCACTGTGTTCAGAACTCAGAACCCAATCTCCAGAAAAATCTATAGATATTTTAAATATATCTAATATAAGGACTAACTATTTAAGTCATGACCAAAATTTAAGAAAGATTGCTTGAAAAATAAAGACAAAAATAATGAATATTTATAACATACATACATACCATACATAGAAAGAATTCATTCCAAACACTATCTTAAAAAACACACATAACAGTTTGTAATAAATATTATTTGACAGTGCAAAATGGTTTGAGACCAAGCCATGGGGGCAATGACCTCAGAATCATTAACAGAAACCAGTAAACAAATATATAACAAATTATATTCTAAAGATATACTATATGACTTAAATTTTATTAATATTCTGGGATTAACATTCACACGTACATTTCTCTCAACACTTGCATTCATCATTAACAAATTCATTTAACACTTCTGCTTCTATCTTATCACACTTACCAGCATTATGCAGTGTTTCACAATGCACCTGATCACACACTACTGCATTATCACAGTTTATTGTATATAAAAATATAATTGACATGCTGTCAGGCTAACAGTTGTATATAATTCAAGATCCACATCCAGTAGGCCGATGTTTGCAAATCTGGATAATAGACTTAATCTTTTATAATATATCATGGGGAGGAGCTGGTGCTTACAAATCTGGATGATGGACTTGATCTCTTTTAATTAATATATTAAGGAAAGGAGCCATGATTTTTTTCTGTTAATTTAATATTTAAACTTAAAAGAATTCTGGATACGAGAGGTTGCCTATTGTAAATTTTTAGATATAATAATACTTAATAATTTTAAAATACTAGTTTTTTAACTTTTTCAAGACATATACAGTAAATGCCTATTTTATATGTCAGGTCCAGGAAAGAAAGGAATATTGTCACCATCAATGATGTAGAATAATTTACTATTTTTTTTTAACACACTGGCCATCTCCCATTGAGGTATTATGACCTGAAAAAGAAACACTTTCACCATCATTCACACTATCACTACATTGTACTCATATAAGTTTGCAGGATAAGATGATACAAATCAACAAAATACTGTACATTACTTTATAATACATGTATTTCCTGAGCTAAAACTATACATAATACAACTGACAGTGAAAATTAATTTAGAATTACAAATAGTTTACTGTAATTGTCATTTTTTATTTTTTTGTGTTGGGAATACCTTTGGATGTTAAAATAAATAACATTAAAATAGAGTACACTGTATAAAATAAGTAAAAAACTGACCAGACCATGAAGGAACCATCTGTCTGCTCCTGCATCATTTCATAACCAGGTTTGTATTCCTTAGCTTCATATACACATGGACAGTCAGTGATGGGGATGCAGATACCATCTCCATCTAAGGAGAAGCCTTCCAAGCAGTTACAGCCCTCTACGCATTTCCTCGTGCAATCAGGATTGGTGGCCAAGTCTAGGCAAGTGTGGGAACAGCGGTTCCCACATACTTGATACTTCTGCCCACCAGTACAATGAACACCTGCAATTATTCATCATCCAAGAAGAAATATTTTAATAACAAACAAAAAATGTACTGCCTTGCCCTTTTTTTATATATGTATAGTAATTTATAACTACTAATTTTATAGCCATAGTCATTTCTGCTAAAAAACTGGAATGATGGTTGATGTGCAAATAAGCCAAGTAACTGAGTGATTGCAAAAGAAAGAATACATTCAGCTAATAACGTACCACACTCTCGAACCTCAGCCCGCCAGTCAATGAGGACTCCCTTCCTGGCACATTCTTTGCTGTAGGCAGCCAGCACTGGACACAAACAGCCATCCAACTTGGTTTCACAAGAGCACATATCGTACAAGCAGTCGCGGTAGAAGGGGTCAGGGTCCACTTCCAGGTGACATGCTGTTCGTGCACATATTATATAGAGTACTTCTAATGCTGAGTAGTTACAAGTATATCTTTTATTTTTACATCAAAGAATTTACAAGCTAAGAGCTGTTGCCCTAAGTCAGTGCATCTCAAAGCCCAGATGCTATCTAGGGTCCACTAATCCCCCCCCAAGTATGTGGCTCACAATAGTCACCCAACACCTCAGTATTGCACCTATTTACTTGCAGGTGAAGAAGGTTAACAGGTACTGACATTTATCTTCTTTACATATACATATTGTATACTGTATATGTACTGGCATTTATCTTCTTTACATATACATATTGTATATTGTATATGTACTGACATATATCTTCTTTACATATACATATTGTCTATAACAAGAATACTACATGTATACATATTCCAGATTGTCTCTTTGCTCCAACGCAGAGATCATTTTTTTTTAACACATCGACCATCTCCCACCAAGGCAGGGTGACCCAAAAAAAAGAAAAACCCAAAAAGAAAGAAAAAACTTTCATTATCAGTCAATACTTTCACCATAACTCATACATAATCACTGTCTTTGCAGAGTCACCCAGATACAACAGTTTAGACAGTCACTCTAAACTGCCAATACCCCAAACCCCTCCTGTAAAGTGCAGGCATTGTATGTACTTCCAATTTCCAGGACTCAAGTCCAGCTAACTGGTTTCCCTGAATCCCTTCACAAAATGTTACCCTGCTCACACTCCAACAGCTGCTAGATGTGATTTATCTACTATATATTATAGGTAAAACACATTACTGGCCAACACAGGATAATTAGTTTTAAATTTATAAGCTGATAAAGATACGGATGATCTAATTTCTTGAGCTTGATTCACTTTATCACTGTAATTCTTAAGTACAGTGGAACCTCAGCTTACGAATTTAATCTGTTCCGTGACCTTGTTCGTATCCCGATTTGTTCATATGCTGAGTCAATTTTCCTCATTTAAATTAATTGAAATGGCATTAAACCGCTCCAGCAGAATTCCTGCTCTTAGAAGGCACGACAAAATACGTAATTCAAATCGATGCTAATATCAACTCTACGGTTTATTTATATATCACAATTCATCTAATTTCACCACCATTCAAGAAATGCACAACAGGTGCATCATTGTCAATGTTCAGTATTTCTTCAATGTCAGCTTCCTGTAACTCCATTAGCACACAGTCAAGATGAGTAAATAGAATTGTCAACGCTTATTGCTTGGGTACGTTTATTCTGTTAGTGGGCTGGACGTGTGAAGGACCTGCCTAGTATGGGCCAACAGGCCTACTGCAGTGTTCCTCCTTTCTTATGTTATTATGTACCCACAACACCAATCATACTCAGCCCCTCCCAATCATATATTTGTCCAATCTCTTTTAGGTTGGATAAATACATGAGTGAGAGGGATTGGATTTGCACGTGAGTAAATAGAATTATTAAAGCTTATTGCTTGGGTAGCGTTTATTCTGTTAGAGGGCTGGATTTGTGAAGGACCTGCCATGTATGGGCCAACAGGCCTGCTGCAGTGTTCCTCCGTTCTTATGTTCTTACGTTGATGAGTGGAACAATCTGCCTAGTATGGTTACTGAGGATAAAACCTTGGGTAGTTTCAAATTTGTGTTGGATAAATACGTGAGTGAGAGGGGTTGGACGTGAGTGGGACTTGCACATAGGTAAATAGAATTATCAAAGCTTATTGCTTGGGTAGCATTGAAAATTGAGTTGGGCAAATATTCTGTTAGTGGGAAGGATTGTGAAGGAGCTGCCTAGTATGGGCTAACAAGCCTGCTGCAGTGTATTATTAGTACGTATTTTTTTTTTTTTTTTTTTTCAACAAGTCACCCGTCTCCCACCGAGGCAGGGTGACCCAAAAAAGAAGGAAAATCCCCAAAAAGAAAATACTTTCATCATCATTCAACACTTTCACCACACTCGCACATTATCACTGTTTTTGCAGAGGTGCTCAGAATACAACAGTTTAGAAGCATACACATGTAAAGATACACAACATATCCCTCCAAACTGCCAATATCCCAAACCCCTCCTTTAAAGTGCAGGCATTGTACTTCCCATTTCCAGGACTCAAGTCCGACTATATGAAAATAACCGGTTTCCCTGAATCCCTTCACTAAATATTACCCTGCTCACACTCCAACAGATAGTCAGGTCCCAAGTACCATTCGTCTCCATTCACTCCTATCTAACACGCTCACGCACGCTTGCTGGAAGTCCAAGCTCCTTGCCCACAAAACCTCCTTTACCCCCTCTCTCCAACCCTTTCGAGGACGACCCCTACCCCGCCTTCCTTCCCCTATATGTAGATTTATATGCTTTCCATGTCATTCTACTTTGATCCATTCTCTCTAAATGACCAAACCACCTCAACAACCCCTCTTCTACCCTCTGACTAATACTTTTATTACCTCCACACCTTTTCCTTATTTCCACACTCAGAATTTTCTGCATAATATTTACACCACACATTGCCCTTAAACAGGACATCTCCACTGCCTCCAACCGTCTCCTCGCTGCTGCATTTACCACCCAAGCTTCACACCCATATAAGAGTGTTGGTACTACTATACTTTCATACATTCCCTTCTTTGCCTCCATGGATAACGTTTTTTGACTCTACATATACCTCAATGCACCACTCACCTTTTTTCCCTCATCAATTCTATGATTAACCTCATCCTTAAAAATCCGTCCGCCGACACGTCAACTCCCAAGTATCTGAAAACATTCACTTCTTCCATACTCCTCCTCCCCAATTTGATATCCAATTTTTCTTTATCTAAATCATTTGATACCCTCATCACCTTACTCTTTTCTATGTTCACTTTCAACTTTCTACCTTTACACACGTTCCCAAACTCATCCACTAACTTTTGCAATTTTTCTTTAGAATCTCCCATAAGCACAGTATCATCAGCAAAAAGTAACTGTGTCAATTCCCATTTTGAATTTGATTCCCCAAAATTTAATCCCACCCCTCTCCCGAACACCTTAGCATTTACTTCCTTTACAACCCCATCTATAAATACAGTGGACCCCCGCTTAACGATCACCTCCAAATGCGACCAATTATGTAAGTGTATTTATGTAAGTGCGTTTGTACGTGTATGTTTGGGGGTCTGAAATGGACTAATCTACTTCACAATATTCCTTATGGGAAAAAATTCGGTCAGTACTGGCACCAGAACATACTATTGGAATGAAAAAAGTTCGTTAACCGGGGGTCCACTGTATACTAAACAACCATGGTGACATTACACATCCCTGTCTAAGACCTACTTTTATCGGGAAGTAGTCTCCCTCTCTTCTACACACCCTAACCTGAGCCTCACTATCCTCATAAAAACTCTTTACAGCATTTAATAACTTACTACCTATTCCATATACATACTTGCAACATCTGCCACATTGCTCCTCTATCCACTCTATCATATGCCTTTTCTAAATCCATAAATGCAATAAAAACTTCCCTACCTTTATCTAAATACTGTTCACATATATGCTTCAATGTAAACACTTGATCTACACATCCCCTACCCACTCTGAAACCTCCTTGCTCATCCGCAATCCTACATTCTGTCTTACCTCTAATTCTTTCAATTATAACCCTACCGTACACTTTTCCTAGTATACTCAGTAAACTTATTCCTCTATAATTTTTACAGTCTCTTTTGTCCCCTTTCCCTTTATATAAAGGGACTATACATGCTCTCTGCCAATCCCTAGGTACCTTCCCCTCTTTCATACATTTATTAAACAAAAGTACCAACCACTCCAACACTATATCCCCCCCTGCTTTTAACATTTCTGTCATGATCCCATCAGTTCCAGCTGCTTTACCCCCTTTCATTTTACGTAATGCCTCACGTACCTCCCCCACACTTACATTCTGCTCTTCTTCACTCCTAAAAGATGGTACACTTCCCTGACCAGTGCATGAAATTACTGCTTCTGTTTCTTCCTTAACATTTAAAAGTTCCTCAAAATATTCTCGCCATCTACCATCCCCCCAATGAAAAGCAGGGGTGTCACTAGCACGTTAACCCTTTGAGGGTTTTCGTCGTACTAGTACGTCTTACGCGTAGGGGTTTTTGACGTACTAGTACTCATAAATTCTAGCGGCCTCAAATCTAGTGGGAGAAAGCTGGTAGGCCTTCATATGAAAGAATGGGTCTATGTGGTCAGTGTGCACAGTCTAAAAAAAATCCTGCAGCACACAGTGCATAATGAGAAAAAAAAAACTTTGACCATTTTTTTTTAATAAATCAGCGACTTTGCAGTGTATTTTCGTATGGTATTTATTGTTGTATTTTAATTTTCTTGGTCTCATTTTATAGAATGGAAGACATATTACAGAAATTGAGATGATTTTGACTGGTTTTACAAAGAAAGGTGCCTTGAAATTGAGCTCAAAGTAGCAGAAATGTTCGATTTTTACCAAACTTCAAAAGTAAACAAATCGTGCCAAGCGTGCAATACACGTCAACTGGTGAGTCTAATATTCTTTCACAAGTGCACCAATAATATTTATACCATTTTTTACACTAATGCAGTAGTCTGCATAACAGTAAATCTTATATTTTTTGTGAAAATAAAAATTCAAAGTGGAAAGCAAAAGAATATAAGAAGGGCCTTGAGACATGACTAATGACTAGAGGAAATGTCATTTTAGTGCCAGGAATGTCTTTCTTGTTTATTCTGGACCCTATTCGGAAATTGGCATCTTTTGAAATTTGTGTGAAATTGGCAAAATTGCTAAATTCTGACCACTGTACTGGATAGTAGAATTTCATAAATGATTGGTTTCTTGCACCCATTCGATAGAAAAAATGGAGTTCTATCGAAATATTCATGTTTTTTGTCGACTAGTACAGTGAAATTGGCCGAAAATGGGGCTCAAAGTGGGCAAAATCGCTGATGCGTAAACATCGCCGAGACCGCTAACTTTGCGAGAGCATAATTCCGTAAGTTTTCTATCAAATTTCAAACTTTTGGTGTCTTTATGATCGGGAAAAGATTCTCTATCTTTTCATAAGAGAAAATAATTTTTTTTTTTTTAAATTTGGCCGACCCTGAGAACGAGTTTCGGAGAGGGCCTGTCGACCCTCAAAGGGTTAAGAGACCATACAATAAGTGTCAGGGGCCCAAGACTGTTCAACTGCCTCCCAGCACACATAAGGGGGATTACCAACAGACCCCTGGCAGTCTTCAAGCTGGCACTGGACAAGCACCTAAAGTCAGTTCCTGATCAGCCGGGCTGTGGCTCATACGTTGGTTTGCGTGCAGCCAGCAGCAACAGCCTGGTTGATCAGGCGCTGATCCACCAGGAGGCCTGGTCACAGACCGGGCCGCGGGGGCGTTGACCCCCGAAACTCTCTCCAGGTAAACTCCAGGTAATACCTCCATCTCCCCATCTACTAACTCCCCTACTCTGTTTTTAACTGACAAATCCATATTTTCCCTAGGCTTTCTTAACTTGTTTAACTCACTCCAAAATTTTTTCTTATTTTCATTAAAATTTCTTGACAGTGCCTCTCCCACTCTTTCATCTGCTCTCCTTTTGTGCTCTCTCACCACTCTCTTTACCTTTCTTTTACTCTCCATATACTCTGCTCTTCTTATAACACTTCTGCTTTGTAAAAACCTCTCATAAGCTACCTTTTTCTCTTTTATCACACCCTTTACTTCATCATTCCACCAATCACTACTCTTTCCTCCTGCCCCCACCCTCCTATAACCACAAACTTCTGCCCCACATTCTAATACTGCATTTTTAAAACTATTCCAACCCTCTTCAACCCCCCCACTACTCATCTTTGCACTACCCCACCTTTCTGCCAATAGTCGCTTATATCTCACCCGTACTTCCTCCTCCCTTAGTTTATACACTTTCACCTCCCTCTTACTTGTTGTTGCCACCTTCCTCTTTTCCCATCTACCTCTTACTCTAACTGTAGCTACAACTAAATAATGATCCGATATATCAGTTGCCCCTCTATAAACATGTAAATCCTGGAGCCTACCCATCAACCTTTTATCCACCAATACATAATCTAATAAACTACTTTCATTACATGCTACATCATACCTTGTATATTTATTTATCCTCTTTTTCATAAAATATGTATTACTTATTACCAAATCTCTTTCTACACATAGCTCAATTAAAGGCTCCCCATTTACATTTACCCCTGGCACCCCAAATTTACCTACTACTCCCTCCATAACATTTTTACCCACTTTAGCATTGAAATCCCCAACCACCATTACTCTCACACTTGATTCAAAACTCCCCACGCATTCACTCAACATTTCTCAAAATCTCTCTCTCTCCTCTACACTTCTCTCTTCTCCAGGTGCATACACGCTTATTATAACCCACTTTTCACATCCAATCTTTATTTTACTCCACATAATCCTTGAATTAATACATTTATAGTCCCTCTTTTCCTGCCATGCTTATCCTTCAACATTATTGCTACTCCTTCTTTAGCTCTAACTCTATTTGAAACCCCTGACCTAATCCCGTTTATTCCTCTCCACTGAAACTCTCCCACCCCCTTCAGCTTTGTTTCACTTAAAGCCAGGACATCCAGCTTCTTCTCATTCATAACATCCACAATCATCTCTTTCTTATCATCTGCACAACATCCACGCACATTCACGTATGTATTATAATAATAATAATAATTATTATTATTACTATTATTATTAATTTAGGGTAGTGGAGCACAGATCCAATTCCCTTGATCAAGAGCCCCTCACCAAAGAACCTCCCTTGAGGGGGAAGTTCACATCCTGAACTATCGTTCGTATCCAGAAGCAAAAAATCAATCGAGTGACTGTTCCTATCCTGAAAAATTCGCATGGTGGGGCATTCGTAAGCCGAGGTTCCACTGTACACTATTATACGTAGTACTGTACTGTAATATTGCATGAAAACACAAATAACTAACAAGTAATCTACTGCATACGCAGTGTATAAGTCAGCATATTAGTCATCACTTAGTTCTGGAGAGATCTTTTTATCCTTAAAAAGTCGACTTATATGCTGGCATATACTGTACTGTACATTCCTGTTTATAGTTTTAACATATTATGTACCGTACATTTTTGTTTATATTTTTAACATATTCTCATTTGGTGCATTAAGAATCATATAGCATTATGTGAGTCAGTGAAAGTTTACTATTGTTTCAAATAAATTACTTAGAGTATGCATTACTTGCACTGCGATACAGTATATTCTCTTGACTAAACAGGAGGCTCGAAAATGGGAAATGTAAAGAAACAAAACTCAGTCATAATAAGAAAATAACAAAAGCAATAAAGTATTCCAGTCATGTAGGAAATAAAAAGCAACTAGAACACATTTGTAGTATAAGTATTAATCTTGCTTAATGTCTATATCATTAAGACATCTGAATTTCTTACACATGTATGTCCTTAGACAAATAGCAAAAGGAAATACATGTAATGTATATTCTAATACTGAAATGAGAGGTTATAAAATGAGGAGAAAAAAGGAATGACTAAAACAAGATACGATTCATTGGAAAACATACTAGGCACACTTACAAGCAAAGAGATTTGATTTGACTTTGGTACAAAACTTCTCTGCTACAGCCTTGTTCTGCACATGTCTGTCACATGGTTTACTTTCATCTGCAATTGGTGCATCTGGGCATTTCTGTTAAAAGATATTAAGAAAAAGTCAATAGGTAGTCACTTGTTTTTGGTTGTCAGGCTAAATCAAAACAGTATCTGTCACTGTTGGTTGTAATCAGTCACCCATGAAAGCAATACTGTATCATCAAAGAATTAAAGGCAATGCTCTTTTCCTCATTAAAGAGAATTTTTATATGGATACACACTGAAGCACTACTTGTTGCATATTTATATCTACCTGTCACTCTTTCAATTCCAGCATCAATGTTTCCAAACCCTGATTTTGCCTCACATCTGATGAAGTAACCCTCACCATCTTTGGTTTTCAATGCAAGAGGGAAGTGCTTGTCTTATTAGATGTTTCAAGTGATTATTCACTATCTTTAATGTATAAATGAGCAGGAAAAATCTGTGGGATTTTTACAGAATACACTCCACTCAAGAATGAGAGCTTCCAGAGGAAAGCGCATCAAAGCTGCTCTTGAAATTATGTATGCTGACTGGACTTTTAATATAATTTTGTTTATATAATTCTGATTGATGTGCAGGGGAAATCATAAAATAATGCATAAAGCTACCTTTAAGAACAAATAGTGTAACACCACCTTAAGAGACTAGTTTTGGACTGACCTCAGAAGTCTTCCACTTGTTAGCAAAAGCAATGACATTCTGTTCGATATCTCCTTCAGGTGTGAGGAAGTCGTCACGTTGGTTGTCAGTGAAGGTTCCACACAGACCCGCTGTCTTCCCACGGAACTCTGCTGGTGCATCTATGTACACACGAGTCTGTCCATCCCACCACACATCCAGTCCATTGCTCATCTCAACTGGAAAAGTCAATCAATTCATTCTTCCAATTTTTATTTTTTTTTCAACACATCAGCTGTCTCCCACAACAAAAAATAATAATAATAATGCAAATAATGTTCACAGAAACACAACAATAATTGGCTGATTAAATAAAATAACCCATTAAAAATAACAGTTGGGTTAACATAATCACTTAAAAACAACCTAGTTCTGCTTAGCAACAATTTTTTTTTTTAACAATGCCTATCTCCCACTGAGGTGGGGGGGACCCAACAAAGAAAACATTTCCACTGTCACTCACTCAATCACTGTCCTTCCAGAGGTGCACTGACATTTCAGTTCTGACAACCCTCCAAACTGTAACATCCCCACCCCAACTTCAGAATGCAGACATTGTGTTTCCCACCTCCAGGACTCAGGTCTGGTTAACTGATTTCCCTGAATTCCTTCATAAATGTTGCCTTGTTCATACTCCAACAGCAAATCAAATCATACAAGTCACTTGCCTCCACTCCTATCTAACACACCTTAAATGTCCAAGCCCCTAGCACTTATAATAAATTTAATTCCACACAGTATATAACTGTTACAAAATTATAGGACATTTATTAGAACATTATGGAAAGCCCCTTTAGCATTTTCGGCAGGTACTCGAGACCATCATCAGAAACTGAGTCATTCAACGAATCAACCAATGCCAGGCAGGAAATCCAGATAATATAGGAGGGCTCAGAAGCCACATACTCATTAAAGTTATCCTAGTTTTAAATTAATTCATACTGTTACTAGACTTGGCAGAATCATGTAACCTATTCCAGCCTTTAATCACTGTATAAAAGGTGTTTAGATACATGACCATCTACTTTCTCTTACTATGGGTATAGTGATGTGGTTCCTTGTAGACATGGTTTAGTGAAAAGGAAAAGACAAGTGCAGAGCAAGACTGTTTTGGTACAATGTTCACTCCATGAAGAGCTTTATCGATTATTATATTTACAAAGCTGTGTGACCCTTGCGAGTTTAGTGCTTAACTTGATTACAATACTCTCATTATATTCGTGGGAAAGCGCTGAACATGTCATAGGGATTATGGTGGCCTGGTGGCTAAAGCTCTCACTTCACACAGCAAGGGTCTGGGTTCGATTCCCAGCCAGCGTAGAAACATTGGGCGTGTTTCTTTACACCGGTTGTCTACACACCCATCAGTAAAATGGATACCCGGGTGTTAATCGACTGGTGTGGGTCGCAACCTGGGACACTGACCTAATTTCCCAGAAATGCTCAGCATAACAAGGGGCTTTCTATATAGTAGTATGTCATTGATGTCAGCTAGGCCTATATTCCTTGTACATGTACTTGTAGCAAATAAAGATAATACAGTATATTATTATTATTATTATTATTATTATTATACAGCCCCTGGGAAGTGGGAGGCATTAGATCAGAGTTAGTGGTCAAAAAACAACAAAATCCCTTACATCAAGGGACTGCTCATGGAGTCAAATGTAATGTTTGCAGCATTCACAGAAACTCACATAAAGGATCATTATGACAGTGAAATATGGATCCCAGGTTATAACCTATTCCAATGCGACAGACTAAATAGGCAACAAGGGTAAGTTGGCCTGTATGCCACAGAGTCGCTCATTTGCAAAGAACTACTAAACACCTCAAATGATGTAGCTGAAGTTTTGGCGGTAAAGATTGAAAACCAAAACCTTGTCATTGTGGTAGTATACAAGCTTCCAGATGCAACTTCCCAGCAATTCCAGGAGCAGCTTGAGAAAATTGACTGCTGTCTGGAAAATCTCCCAACTCCTGCCCCAAACATCTTACCACTAGATTTCAGCTTGAGACACCTAAAATGGAGGAGTATAGCAAACAATGTTTTAGCAGAGATCACCCCGGGAGTTAGCTCGGATGAAAATTCACACACACACAGCTATTAAATCTCTGCACCAAGTTCACCTTAAATCAGCAAATAGTAGAGCCTACAAGACTACAAAATACACTGGACCTCATCTTCACTAACAATGACGATCTGATACGTAATATAACTGTATTAAAGACAATACACTCAAATCACAACATAACAGAGGTACAGACATGTATGCACAGGGCTCCTGACCAGCAAAATGTGGGCAGTCATGAAGGTCTCTTCACAAAATTCAATTTCAATAACAAAAACATACAATGGGATCAAGTAAACCATGTCCTAAATGAAACAAGCTGGGAAGATACCCTAAACAACACGGATCCAAACATTTGCCTTGAAAAAATGAATTCTATGGTTCTTGAGATCTGCTCAAGATACATTCCATTAAGAAAAAGAAAGAAAAGATGTAAACTAGAAAGGGAGAGACGTTCCCTATACAGACAAAGGCGAAGAGTCACAGAGCTGCTGAGTGGGGCCAATATATCTGAAATACGAAGGGAGGCACTAGTCAATGAAATTGCAAATATCAAACCTAAGCTGAAGTAATCATACAGGAGACACGAATCACTAGAAGAAGTAAAAGCCATAAAAGAAATTGAAAAAAGCCCAAAATACTTCTTCTCTTATGCCAAATCTAAGGGAAAAACAACATCCAGTGTTGAGCCCCTGCTTAGGCGGGATGGGACATACACAGATGACAGGCAAGAAATGAGTGAGATACTAAAGTACCAATATGACTCAGTGTTCAGCGAGCCACTGCCCAGACAAAGGGTCAACAATCCAAGTGAATTCTTTATGAACGAAACCCAAAATTTGGCCATCTCAAAAATCTCAGGTATTTTTCTAACTCCGCAAGACTCTGAAGAAGCAATAAGTGAAATGTCCATGCACTCTGCCCCAGGCCCAAACTCAAGGAACTCCTTTTCATCAAGAATTGCAAGAAGCCCCTATCGCGTGCCTTCAGCATTTTATGGAGAGGGAGCATGGACACAGGGGTCATCCCACACACACACTAAAAACAACAGACATAGCCCCACTCCACAAAGGTGGCAGTAAAACAATTGCAAAGAACTACGTACAGGCCGATAGCACTAACATCCCATATCATAAAAATCTTTGAGAAGGTTCTAAGAAGCAAGATTGCCAATCACCTAGATACCCATTAATTACACAACCCAGGGCAGCACGGGTTTAGAGCAGGTCGCTCCTGCCTGTCCCAGCTACTGGACCACTATGACAAGGTCCTGGATGCTGTAGAGGATAAACAAAATACAGATGTGGTATACACAGACTTTGCAAAAGCTTCGAAAAGTGTGACCATGGTGTAATAGCACACAAAATGCATAATAATGGAATAACAGGAAAAGTTGGTAGATGGATCTACAACTTCCTGACAAATAGAACACAAAGACTAATAGTAAACAGAGTGAAGTCCCAGGCAGCTACGGTAAAAAGCTCTGTTCCACAAGGCACAGTACTCGATCCCATTCTATTCCTCATCCTCATTTCTGACATATAGATGTAAGCCATAGCTCCGTGTCTTCCTTTGCAGATGACATCCGGATTACCATGGCAGTGGCCTCCATCGAAGACACCATGAGACTCCAAGTGGACATCAACCAAATCTTCAAATGGGCCACTCAAAACAATATGAAGTTCAATGAGGAGAAATTTCAACTACTCAGATATGGGAAACTTGAAGAAATTAAAAACGTATCAGGGTATACAACAAATTCTAACCATATAATAGAGTGGAAAAGTAATGTGAAGGACCTGGGAGTGATAATGTCAAAGGATCTCGCCTTCAAAGACCACAACAATGTATCTACCTCATCCGCTAGGAAAATGGTAGGATGGATAATGAGAACCTTCAAAACCAGGGATGCCAAGTCCATGATGATTCTCTTCAAATCACTTGTGCTCTCTAGGCTGGAATACTGCTGTACACTAACGACCCCCTTCAAGGCTGGTGACATTGCAGACCTGGAGAGTGTACAAAGAACTTTCACAGCACACATAAGTATGATAAGGCACCTAAACTACTGGGAACGGTTGAAGGTCCTTGATATGTATTCCCTCGAATGCAGGCGAGAGAGATACATGATAATATACACTTGGAAGGTCCTGGAGGGATTGTCACCAAACCTGCACACGAAAATCACTCCCTATGAAAGCAAAAGACTCGGCAGGATATGTAACATTCCCCGATGAAAAGCAGGGGCACCACGAGTACATTGAGAGACAACACAGTAAGTGTCTGGGGCCCAAGACTGTTCAGTTGCCTCCCAGCATACATAAGGGGGATTACCAATAGACCCCTGGCTGTCTTCAAGGCACTGGACAGGCACCTAAAGTCAGTAGTACCTGACCAACCGGGCTGTGGTTTGTACGTCAGCTTGTGTGCAGCCAGCAGTAACAGCCTGGTTGATCATACCCTGATCCACCATGAGGCCTGGTCTCAGACCGGGCCGCGGGGGTGTTGACCCCCGAAACCCTCTCTAGGTAAACTCCAGGTAGTAGTGTAAATTCCTGAAGGAATATAGTCGTAATATGTTACCGAAAATATTAAACCAAAAACAAGTCTTGCAGCAATGGATTCAAGTTGGAGAAATTTAGATGTAGAAAAGATATTGTTAAGTACTGGTTTGGCAGAGTTGTAGATGAGTGGAAGAAACCCACAGGTAGTGTCACTGAGGCAAGAACTTTGGGTTAGTAAGTGTAATTAGGGACAGGTACACCTAAGTACAATTGTTGTACATAGTTCAACATGTGTAAATTACTTAGGATTAATCCAAAAAGTCTGATAAAAGTGATTCATTTCCACTGGAAACATCATACATGAGTGGGTGTTGGTGGGTGTGAATTAGACATGCCTATCATGTAGGTCTGTTACAGTGTTCCTTATTTCTTGTTTTTATTACCCAGCATAACCCAAGAGAGCTACTGGTGTCGTTACGTCCTCCTCCAGGATGCGACCCACAAGTCTACCAACTTCTATGTTGTATTTACTGTTAAATGAACATGTTCACCTGATCTTAGATTTACACATAAGTTTCTTATGTTATTTTATATTATTTTTGT